TTTCTCTCAATCATTTGCTGGTTAAAGGGTATTTTCAAGACCTTATCTCTACCTTCTCTACAAATAGCTTTTCAAAATTCTAAATCTTTTTTTGAAAAGTTTAGCTGTTGTCTAGGATTTGCTTTAAAGTTACTCTGTCTCGACGTACGGTTAAACCGAAAAAATGATAATGTCGTATCTATCTGGTAATCTTAATTGGACAGTGCATACCGTAAAACTATTCTGCGTGCATGAAACAATTTTTTTATTTTTTCGCTCTGCTACTGTGATCGATTAGTATTTGTTGACGCTTACAGTAGCAAAGCGGAAATTGCTGTATGACGATTGCATACCTTGATAGATTTGTGTTTGAAAGCCGACGATTTTACGTTAAAGATAAATGACTTACAAGTTTGTAAGTCAGAAGTTTAGAAAAATTTGACTTTGATAATGTTAACCTGGTTGGTAATTTATAATGGCTTATTACTCATATAACCTGGTTGGTAATTTATGAAATTTTTTTAAAATTTTTTAAATTTTTAAAAAATTTAACCTGGTTGGTAATTTATAATGGCTTATTACTCAAATTCTTCGGAAATGATAAGATCTGAAGAACATTTGAAATTTTATACTTAACTGTATGATTATTGTCAGGAGAGCTTGTTGGACACATGTCTAGTCTTCTGCGCAATGTGACTGTAATTTAAAGCTAACATCAAAAAAGGAAAAAAAGGTAAAAGAACTTGTTGAAGCAGACAAACTTTTATTGTACAAACAATTCTAAACTTGAAAATTTAAAAGAATTTACAAACTGTAAAAAGGCACAACTAATACGTTTAGAAGAAAAAACTTTTAAACAGTCCTCAAAAGCTCACAAGTAGCATAAGGCGCTTAAATTTGTTGCCAGAAATAGTGACAAAACTAAGTCTCTTTGTGATTAATGTCTCTCTCGCATAGTCAAGAAAATCTGTAGCACCAGTAAACTATCTCCTTGTTAAAAACTGAGGATAGACTGGCAGCTGAATAAGGTATCGTATAAGATTGCCAGTCCCCGCCCTGTAGCGAATTCACTGAGGTTTACTTACTCACTGATAAGCTTCAAAAGTGCATCAGAATTGTTAGTGGTTCTGTAAAGTTTTTTAGTAGTAATTCTAACATTTAAAGGAATAAAGTAGCTTTTTTTTTTCATCTAAATTTTTTCATTTTCCTTTGTTGGAATTACTGTGTAGGTGGTCATAGTGTTGTAATGATGTTAAAGTTTTTTTATTTGTGTCATAGTAATTCTCACCAACAGCAATAATTTTATTTTTGAGCGCAGTTCACTAATAATAAACTAGATAAAGCTGAATAGATTGGATTTTTTTTTAATGTTAATATAAGACCTAAATGCTCTGCTGATCAAAGTAACTGTGGTTTATGTGATGCGTATACGGTATGATGCTTTAGAGCATGGATAGTGCTCTCAGAGCCAGCGATTTTAATGGTTAAATTCATGTAGAAAAGTCAGTATGGATATTTATAACTAAGCAGTTCAAATTATTCACCGTCCTCTACATTGATTTACACTGCTTCAGTTATTCCGTTTGCAACCATTTGCGTTATTAGCCTACAATAATTAAGTTATTATTTTCGTTTCTTTCGTAGCTTGGATTGCTTAGAGAGGGATTATTTCAAATATAATGAGAGCATCTGGATCAAGAAACTGGTAAATTAAAAGTTCGTTTAAAAAAAAACAATGGTTTCGAAACAAAAGCATGGGTTAGCAAGATGAATGTGTTTTTCGGTCAAAAAAAGTTCACATCGGAATTGAAGAATGCAGAAACTGCCAACAAGTGTTTCTTCTGGGCTTTTAAATTAGGAAACAACTCCAAAATCTTAAGGAGATGTCGATATAAATAACGTTAAAAATCACACTAGTTTCAACACGTTTTAAGTTTGACACAAAATCTACGATTCTATCTAAAAAACACATACGATGCAGAAAAACCGACGTTTATAAATATAAGTCGAGAATTAATTACAAAAAACAGTTTCAAAAATAGCACATAGATAACTGAAATTTGAAATAGCGGCCAACACATATAAGAAAATGACTATTAACTTCTTTTTAGTCTCAAATGCCATCTTTATTATTATTATTATTATTATTATTATTATTATTAATTATCAATGATATTATAATAACAGTAATACCAATAACTAATACCCTATTATTATTATTATTGTTCCTATTATTATCATTATACTGTTGTTATTGTTATTGTTGTTATTATTGATATTATTATTCTTTTGTTTCTTTATAATTAAACAGTTAGTTTGAAAATTACGGTTTGAAACTTTTTGGAAAGAAACTTCACTGCGTAAACAATGTGCAGAGAGGGCGGAGACAAAAAGAAAGACCAAAAGTTTCAACTATCTAATGATTTCTGCTCTCTTCCTAAATTGGCAGAAATTTTTTTGAGTTTGCTACAGCGGTAGTTTAGTGAGACAGATCAACCAAGCTTTTAAAAAGGGCAATGAATGACTGCTTGCAAACGAACTACAGATGGTAACATTGCACAAAAAAAAAA